ACCCCTGCAGCGGGGGTCCGAGGGTCGAACCCCTACCCCGACTTTGCCCCCGATGGCCCCCGCCTGACAACCCTGGTATGCACCCCGCAGAAAAAAAAATAAAAAAAATTGGCGAGGCCTGCTGGGCTGGTAGTGCGCTGTCGGCCTTCCCGACGGACTCTTACCGTAGAAGTCTGTCGGGAAGGCTGACGGCGCACTACCGGCCCAGCAGGCCCCGCCAATTTTTTTTTTTTTTCTGCGGGGTGCACGTAGCGCGCCGTCGGCCTTCCCGACCGTCGGCAGGGCCTTCCTGATGGAGTTCCGCAGAGTGGAGCGAATGTCTCCAGCTGCACCCTGGGTTGAAGCTGCGCCTGCACCGCCGCACCTGATGAAGCCGCCCCTCCATATCTCTACTTCGTGTTGCCGCCCCTGCCTTGACACAGGAAGCACAATGTCATCGGGAAAACCTGGCCCGATTTTTTTTTCCCCTCCTCTTGTTCTCCTTCACCGTTTGTGTTCTTCCTCCTCTTCTTCTTCGTCCTTCTCCTCTCCTCCATTTCTTCTTCTCCTCCTCCTCTCTTCTCTCTCTCTCTCTCTCTCTCTCTCTCTCTCTCTCTCTCTTTCTCTCTCTCTCTCTCTCTCTCTCTCTCTTCTTCTTCTTCCTCTTCTCCTCTTCTCCTCTTCTTCTTCTTCCTCCAGTCCTCTTCTTTTTTTCCCTTCGTTTCTCCTCTTCTTCTTCAGCCTCCAATCCTCCTCCTCTTCGTTTTCCTCCTCTCCTCCTCTTCTTCTTCTTCCTCCTCCTCTCCCGCTTGGAAAATCGTTTGTTTGTTTGTTTTTTCTCGTCGTCTTCTTCCCGTCCCCACTGAAAGCTCGGTTCTTGAAATTTCGTTAGGGTTTGGTACCGCTAACCTTTGTATTCTTCCTCCTCGTTTTCTTCTTCCTTCTCCTCTCCTCCTCTCCTCCTCTCCTCCTCTCCTCCTCTCCACCTTCTCCACCTCTCCTCTTAGTCTCTCTTCTTCTTCCTCCTCTTCTTCTCTTCCTCCCTCCTCCTCTCCTCCTCTTCTTCTTCCTCCTCTCTTCTTCGTCTTTCTCCCCCTCTTCCACTTGGAAAATCGTTTGTCTTTCTCCCCTCCTGGTCTTCCCCTCCTTCTTGAAATTTCGTTAGGGTTTCGTACCTCTAACCTTTCTATTCTTCCTCCTCCTCGTTTTCTTCTTCTTCCTTCTCTCCTCTTCTCCACCTTCTCCACCTCTCCTCTCTCAGTCTCTCTTCTTCTTCCTGTTCTCCTCTTCTCCTCCTCGTTCCTCCTCTCCTCCTCTTTGTCTTCCTCCTCTCCTCCTCTTCTTCTTCTTCCTCATCCTCTCCTGCTTGGAAAATCTTTTTTTTTTCCCCTCCTGGTCTTCCCGTCTCCACTGAAAGCCCGATTCTTGAAATCTCGTTAGGGTTTCGTACCTCTAACCTTTCTATTTTTCCTCCTCCTCGTTTTCTTCTTCCTTCTCCTCTCCTCCTCTTCTCCACCTCTCCTCTCTCAGTCTCTCTTCGTCTTCCTCTTCTCCTCTTCTCCTCCTCGTTCCTCCTCTCTTCTTTTTCTTCCTCCTCTCCTTCTCTTCTTCTTCTTCCTCCTCCTCTCCCGCTTGGAAAATTGTTTTTGTTTTTCTCCTCCTCTTCTTCCTGTCCCCTCTGAAAGCACAGTTCTTGAAGTTTCGTTAGGGTTTCGTACCTCTAACCTTCCTATTCTTCCTCCTCCTCATTTTCTTCTTCTTCCTTCTCCTCTCCTCCTCTTCTCCACCTTCTCCACCTTCTCCACCTTCTCCACCTTCTCCATCTCTCCTCTCTAAGTCTCTCTTCTACTTCCTCTTCTCCTCCCTCTTCCTCCTCCGCCCCTCCTCTTCTTCTTCTTCCTCCTCCTCTCCTCCTCTTCTTCTTCTCCATGTCCAGCGTTAGCTGTAGTTTGACAATGTAGTTGGAAAGTCGAACATTGTTGGTGTGTGAAGTCAAGTTTTTTTTATTGTTTTCTTTTTTTAACAAGAAAGCAGCGACAGGGGCCTGTTACAATTTTTTTTTGTTTTCCAAAGTTGGAAAGCAGCCTGCGGGGCCTGCAACGAATTCCCCCCCCCTCCCCCCCCCTCCATCTCTTCGTCTTCTTCTTCCTCTTCTTCTTCCTCCTCCTCCTCTTCATCTCCCTCCTCTATTTTAAAGGCACGATGTCAGCGGGTCAGGGCGGCAGGGCCAGGGAGCCCTTCAGGGCTGTGAAAGGAGACGAGAGGGAAGAGTTGTTGCTCACGCATGACATATGGCAATGGGTCGACCGGGGGCACAAGAACGTTGGCAGGGCAACTGGGTCATGGAGGATGCAGTTTTGGTTGTGCTCCAAGGAGCTTGATGGGGCCGTGAATCGGGCCGTCAATCATTTCATCCAACCATCAAATGGCGCCCGGTGCAAGCATGTCAACGGGGAGATTTTGTACGTCATTTACAAGCCACAAGGAAAGAGCAAGATCCCGCAGAAACTATTGAGCAGACTGGATGCCCACATGCGGGAGCTTGGGTATCCGTCCTCAACACCGACTGGAATGGGCCAGGAAGATGAGGTCGGCGAGGATGGTTGTGAGGAGGATCCTTTTGGGGATGTGCCATCAGCGGAGGGCAACAGGCTTGAGCCAACACCTGGAGGCGATGGTGCAGCAGCGGATCTCCCACCGCGACCTCCAAGCAGCAATGCTTCCTGGCAACAGACATTGATGACCAGCTACTTGGTCGATGTGCTGCAGAGGGAGATGAATCACGCAATTGCACAATTCTTCTACGAAAATGCAATTGTGTTCAATGCAGCGCGCTCTGATGCCTACAAAAAAGTTGAGAAGGTCATGGGTGACGCAGCCAGGGCAAAGAAAGTGCTGACACTGCCATCTTACGACATATTGAGGACTGACGAGCTACAGGGAAGCTACAAGAAGACTGACACCGACATGGATGAGATCAGGTCCACATGGCCTAAAACTAGATACACTCTCATGACGGATGGCACAACCACAACCAGCAACAGGCCGGTGATCAACTTCCTCGCCGGAGGAGACAAGGGTGCAATGATGGTGAAGAGCATGGATATGGAAGGGAAGGACAAGTCAGCACCAGCCTTGGCTAAGATGTGGGAGGGGGTGATCAGGGAGTTGGGTGTGAAGAACATCAACGCAATATGCACCGACTCTGCACATGTCAACATCTCTGCTAGGAACATCCTTGCAAAGCATCCAGACCCTGAAATACGACAGATCCCGTGGGTGCCTTGCGCATGCCACATTTGCAACCTCCTCATGGGGGACATTGCCAGTGTGTCGTGGGTTGCGGAGGTGATTGTACAGGGTAGAGACATTACACTCTTCGTCAAGAGGCATTAGAGGCCTCTTGCCATGTTCAGGAGGAAAGGGAAGCAGAGGAGGGTTGAGGCGGCTGCACAAGGAGACAAGAGCAGTGGGAAGGCATTGGAGCTCATCACACCGGGAGAGACCCGTTTTGGAACTCATTACCTTATGCTGAAGAGACTGCAGCTGATGGAGACTGTGTTGATGGACACAATGTGCAGCAGCGAGTGGGATGCGGCCGCGTGGGAGAAAAGCAAGGTGGAACGGGCACGTGCATGCAGGGAGCTCGTGCGCAGTGTGGAGTGGTGGAAGACAGTGGATGAGGTTGTTAAACTGCTGGAGCTTGTTTACAAGTTCATGTGGACCATGGACAGCGATGGCCGAATGGGTCCTCACATATGGAGTCTTGCTGTCACTTTGGAAAACAGAATGAAGAGTGCTCCTATGGACGATGACATCAGGAAGGTAGTGATGCAGAAGGTGAAGCAGCGCATGGAGATGATGGCACTTCCTGTGCATGCAGCAACACACATGCTGCACCCTGCGAACCGTTCTGCTGATCTATTTGACAACCTTGAGGCCCCGGTTATACACAACACTTTAGCCCACATTGCGACGATTTATCCAGTTGGGACGCAAGCGTGCAAAAAATGCTGGGATTCACTGTTGAGCTTCCACCAGCGGGACCCGGAGTGGACGGGTGAGAACTCAGAGGAATACCTGTCCAGCAAGAGGATCTCGATGGCACAATGGTGGATGACTTATGGTAAGAAACACGTCAAGTTGCAGGGCATTGCCATCAAGGTCCTCAACATGTGGACCACCGCATCCCCGTGCGAGAGGAATTGGTCGACATTCGATCTCGTGCACACCAAGAGGCGAAATAAGTTGTCTCCTGACACGCTGGAGAAGCTCGTCTTCATGCATTGGAACACCAAGCTTCTTCGAATGTCGCGGTTGAAGAGAGGTTACGTGAACACCGAGCGGCTCAGCTGGGAGACTCTGGAGGATGTGGCCCCACATGACGGATTTATGCAGGATGGGGAGTACGACCCCGAGGACGTGGCGAGACGGGCTGCAAATCGGTCGAGAGGAGGCAGTCACTTATCCAAGGCAACGATGCTTGACATTCAGCCTATTCTATACGAGGTGGAGGATGACGGAGCGTGGTTGGCTGCTCAGACTTACACACCTCCTCCGCTCAGACCGGACCGTGCCAGGGTGGTGGAGGATGTTTTAGCGGATTCGAACGATGAGGAGGAGGAGGATGAGATAGCTGATTTGCCTCTTCAGTGTAGCAGGGCGAGGATAACCGCGTCACGCAGGGAGCAGGGAGATGACAGTTTGGTTGGTGGTGTTACCGCTACTCCCACCACCCGGGTTGACGAAAGTGCAGTTGGTGGCGCAGGTTCTTGTGTGACCACTTCTATTGGTCATCATGCTTCTGCAGCCGTGGCTGTTGGTGGGAGATCAACATTGCAACGTAGCACTTCAGACCTGTTGGTGGCACGAGTTCAGTTGCTGATCGTGTTCATGGGAGCACTGAAGTTGGTGGGAGTTCGACCGTGCACAACAGCAGTTTTGGTGTTCCTTGTAGTCTGGCAATTGGAGGGAGTTCAACAGTGGACGGTGGTGTTGCTGTTGGTGTGACCGTGAGTGATACTGGTGCAGGTTGCCCTGGGGATGCAGCGGATCTGCCTGCAGGGAAGGTCAGTGCTGATCTTGATGTCGACATGAGTGATGCTGGCGGAGAGTGTCGTCGGGACAGCACCACCATCCCACCTGCAGCAGATGTGTTCGCTTCACTTATCAATTTCATATCCCCTGAAGATTACACGATTTCACCATTGACTTCCCCCCTCCAAACGGACAGCGAGGACAACAATCCACCTCGGGAAAGATTGAGCAGTGTTGTCCCGCCTGTCCCACGGTTCGATGAAGAGACCACACCCTCATCAACTGCAGTACACAGGGGAATGAGCCCAAGTGATGTACAGCAGCCTGCGGTACAAGATTGTGCAAGGATTTCATGGAAGAGAATGTCCCCGCCTGAAATTAACCAAGAGGTTGTGCGCACAGTAAAGAGCATGGCTGGCCGGAAGAAGGGATCGAAGAACAAGGAAGTGTCGAAGAAGATGGATGTGTCAAAGAAGAAGGACAAATCAAAGAAAAGGGAACAAGAGAAAGAGAAGGACGCATCAAAGAAGAAGGACAAGTCGAAGAACAAGGACGTCGGAGAAGGCCCCTCGGATTCTGTTCGCCGACCAGTTGGCAGACCACGACGAGCTCGGACTGAGCCCGACCCCGACCCTTTGGAAATGAAGAGAGCTATCGTCAGAGCGGCGAAAGTGTCGAAAGCACTGAAATTGAAGAAGAAATTACAAGTTGCTAGCCATTCGCCAACAAAACGGGGTAGAAAGAGGCGGAGGGTCGTGGATGACGATTTCGCTTCTTACTCATCTACCACTCCAGCCTCCTCGACTTCATCTTCCGATGAGTCTTGCACCTCCTTTAGTGGCAGTGACAGCAGCAGCAAGTGATACCTGTTTCGTATATGCCCTTAGAGAGAGAGAGAGAGAGAGAGAGAGAGAGAGAGAGAGAGAGAGAGAGAGAGAGAGAGAGAGAGAGAGAGAGAGAGATTCTATTTAGCTACTTGGTTGTGGGGGGGGAATGGCATGCCTTGTCGTTTGATCTGTTTTACATGTTGGCTTCTCCATTTCCAGCTTATGAACTTCTGTTGTCGAAGTGTGTCCCGTCTTTACTTTTGTTCTTGAACACCCCAGACACCCTCTGTCCGCCTCCCAGAACACCCTCGAACCCACCCTTAACCTCTCCAAGACAACCCCCAAAGCACCCCATGAACAACCCCTGAACACCCCCCAAACGCCCCCCCCACCCCCCCCCCCCCCCCCCCCCCCCCCCCCCCCCCCCCCCCCCCACCCCCCCCCCCCCCCCCCCCCCCCCCCCCCCCCCCCCCCCCCCCCCCCCCCCCCCCCCCCCCCCCCCCCCCCCCAAAACCCCCCCACCCCCCCCCCCCCCCCCCCCCCCCCACAAAAATTTATTGCGGATTTGGGCTGCTCTCCTCAAGCCACACACGACCATGTCATCAAAAAAAAATAAAAAATAAAAATGGGCAGTCTACCGACCGCCTACGGTAGGCGTAGGCGGTAGGCGCCAAAACAACCCTGTCTACAACCCCATATTTTTATTTTATTTTTTTTATTTTGTTTTGCCCCTGAAACACCTTCGGACGCCCGTGGTCCGTACGCTCGTACGGTCGTTCGTCCGTCCGTATGCACGGGCCGTACGGAGACCCCCCGTACGACGTACGGGCGACGACACTGTCGCCATCCATCCATTCTCTGCTTATCTTGGGTGAAAAGACTGAGCACTGTAAAGACCGTTGACGAGGGGGGGTGGATGAGAAAGAATTCCTGCACCGCCTCAGGACTGCCTTTCATTTCTTCTAAGCGTTTGCATATCCAGCGTATTTTATCATTAACTGATTTTTGTGCGATGTCTCCATGGAACAGCCAATTGCTTGCATGCTTGGTGTAGGCTTCATCTCTGGCTTCTAATTTATCTGCTGGATACGTCTTCATCACTGCCTTTCTCCCCCCCTGGTCCACCACTTGATTTTCTGAGGGGAGGAGGAAGAGGGTGAGGAAGTAAGCTCTCGCTGATGAGAGATTTCAGAGGGCCACCTTCAGAACCTCCTCCTCATTTTGCTGTGTGATATGGCCGTCTCTTTTGATGGAGAGAGACTTTTCCTGGATTGTGTTGCTAACTCGCTGTGCCCATGAGGACTTCGGATCCTTTCCCGTTTCCCCTTGATTCCGAGCGATGTCCTCCTTTTGTTTCCTTTTTTCTGTGCTCTTTTCTGTGCGTTTTTCTTCTTCTGTCAGCATCTCTTCATCGTTCTCGCAGTCCTCCTCTTCTTCCATTTCCACTTCCTCCACGCTTTCTTCCCCCGTGGTTCGCATCTCCAGGTCACAGTCCTGGGAGGTTCCTTGTGGCATCGCGATACTCTTTCCTGGTCGGCCGGTTTCGACCTATCCGGGTCAATAGTCACAGCCTCCTTAGGGGTTCAACTTGGCCATTGCTGTTTCGTACCCAGGGAGGGGGGGGTGAAAGTAGCACGCCGGCCCGATTGCAGTTTCTTCTCTGGCCTGCCATAGGGGCAGAACGCCAATTGTCTGCCCACGTTGTGTCTCATGGCCCCCTGATAGAAGATGAGGGACCCGGGCCCTCTGACCCGTCTGTACCCCAATTCCATCGAGAGAATTGTGTAGTACTAATATCAGTGGTAATGCGTGAGAAAATCTGTGCTGTTTTTGTGCTTGTTTATTGATCCTATTGTTTTTTATTTTTTATTTTCTGATTTTGTTTTTGGTTTTTAGTGTGTTTACTAAACACTGTGGTAGTCGCTCCTTTGCTGGCTCGGGGGCACCACCGGGGCGGGGAGGCGGGCAGGGCGGGCGGGGATCAGGGTTTGGGGAGGGGGGAGACGATATCCGGTGTCTACCTGTTATCCACGGTTCTCCTTGTTCCTACCGGAGCTGGCGTTGGCCTGTGACGATTCTCGTCCCTTATGAAGATGATCTCCTTTCTCCGTTAGCTCGCCACTGCGGATCTGCCCCCTCTTCCTGATTGACATCTCCCTGTTATGATGCTCCTCCCGTACCACCTCCGGCTTGCTCCCAGCTTCCTGTCCCGTCACGGGGAGTTTCCAGTTCTTGTCCTCCTCGTCCATGTCCTCTCGTTCTCCTTACTTTCTTTATCCCAACTCTTTCATACCCTTTCCGCCTGCTCCTTCTTTCTGGTTGACGTCACCCTGCCGCAGATCCCCTCGCGCACCCGACGCGATTGTCCTTACGTACCTTTTCCCGTTTACTCCTAACCTCACGGCGTTTCCCCTCCCGCACTTCTTTGCATTCGCTCCTGGCTTCCTTCGCGATAGCTGTCTCCCAGCTGCGTTGCCGCTTCATCTCCCGCATTCCCGCTGCACACTCGATTCTCTCCCCCGTGTCCTCCTTGTCGAATTCCCTGCTCTCTATGACCTGTTCTTTCTTGACGTTCTTTCACTCCATCTTTGCTCTCACCGCACTATCTTGCACACTTTTCGCAATCCCAAGGCTTACTCCACTTGAACTCCACCTGTCGTCAGCCCCTGATGCTCCGTGGTGGGAGCTTGGTGGCTATGAAGTCAACATGTGGAACCCCTCGCCCGGGGTCGGACCACTTCTCGCGCCAGCCCGTGACGCACTGTGGCCCAGCGCCTGTGTCTTGCCGTGCGTGCGCGAAGCGCGTGTCAATCCATTCTCGAATTATACACTGCC